TGCCTTAACTGGAAGAAGCTTTTCTGCAGAACAGAGATAATCTGTTTATTAAACTTACTGTAAAGTCAGAGTCTAAAACCATTCCATGATTCGTAACAGACTGCATAAGATATAGCTCAAGGGAGTCAATGTTAACAGGAACAGAGACAATGGTAGAGCTAGGGCTATACACAATGACTTCAGTTCTCTGATCATGAAAACTTAAAAAAAATTGAAGCCATCCATGTCTTTATATCATCGATATTTCAACAGAGGGCAAATGGAGCAAGAGATGTTGGGTTTTAAGGGCAAATAAATCTGACAATCATCAGCATAACAATAAAATGAAAGGCCATGTTTCCTCAGGACAGACCCCAAAGGGAACAGAGAGAGTGAAAATAAAGTAATCCAAATATCGAGCCCTGTGAGACCCTACAGGAAAGAGACACTGATGCTGATACACTATTTCCAATCTTAACACAGATGCTGCACCTGTAATCCTAACCCAATATTCTAACTGCGACATAAGGATACTGTGGTTCACAGAATCAAAAGCAGCTGTAAGGTCCAGGAGTACACGTATCACAAACTGACCAGAATAATTTGCTAACAGAATGTCATTACAAACCCTAACTAAAGCTGTTTTAGTGCTGTGTAATTGCTCAAGACCAGACTGAAAGATGAAACCATGAGAATCCCAAAACACAGAAATATAGAATATCCACAAGTAACCAAATTACACTAATCCTAACAGTACCACTGTGCAGTCAGGGTTTCTTGAATCACAACCAGAGTTGACCTGAAGTCTGACCCTACAGCTCCTCCTTCCATGATACTAGGTCCAGGAGTAACACTGGTTTGTCTCTTCAGATTAGCAGGATTGGTCCACTCCCCTCAGTGCCACCACACGTGCAAATGATAATAATCTGAAGTAACACAGATTCATCACTGATCATGATTTGACTCCACTCACCATCAGTCCAATCCTACAGGTTACAGAACCACTCCAGATGCCATCTTTGCTCTGGTGCTAAAGGCAGCCTACGCATGGAAAGGTGAACCTTTAGTGTGGCTAATTTGTTATTCCAAAGTGTCCAATCCCTGTGCCAGTAGGAAAGAAGCAGATAATATGGTGTTCTGTAATGCTTGTCAACACAACACCACTTGATGTGCTCTGTTCCAGGCCCGTGGAGCCTTCACAGCATGTGTGGATGCTCCCATAGGCCCGCTGGTTTCAGCATTGAGCCACTGTAACAAGTCTCTGTGTCTGATGACCTTCACTTACTGTTTATACTGACTGTTAGATTCTCCAGAAACTACCTGATAACACTTTCACATTGTTCCTGTCCTCTGGTGCCTACTGTAGACATATTGCTCCTTACAAATCAATTTTCTTCCATCTGGGTGCTTCACATGCTTTGTCCCCATCGCAGAGCGATGAGGGAGAAATGGAGAAACCTTACATTCATCCAAGTTGTGAGCATGAAAACCTAAAAAATAAGTGAGGTATCCTCTTTCATTTTGGTTTGTGGCTGCATGCAGGTGTAAGATCAAGATCCAGGTGTAAAATCCAAGATGGCTACCTCCACATATGTACGCTGTACTGTAAACCTTATGAGCTGGATAACTTGAAAAAGCAACGCACTGACTTCCATTTTGGTGTGCGGCTGCAAATCTCAAAGAGAACTCCTCATAACTACTGTGTTTTTCGGCATAGACGTCGTGTTTTTTTTTTAATAATTTATATGACTTGCAACTTATATGCCAAAGCGGCATATTTATGGATTTTTTCCCCATATTTATAAACCAATTTTTGGCTGAAATATGACCGATTTCATTCATTCTGACTGAAAATGTTGAACACTAACATTTTCAGCTGCTAGATGGCGCTCAAGTAGTATGGCATGTCATTGTGTCATGTAATAGGTAAAAAGTGGCTATTAATGACACAGTCGGCTTGCCATAGCCTGCCACCTTTGTCCAGCTCTCCTGGAGCAACCGTCAAATCAGCTTCATTTCACTGCGCTGCCTCGGTGAAATGCATTTATTAAGTAATAGTTCAACTGAGACACGCCTTTACTATAATGTCGAGCAAACAAATAACAGTTTTAGGTGTTTATCTTGTTAAATTTTGAAGAAATATGCAGTGTTCCTACTTCCTGATTTCCTCCCTCAGTCCCGGAGCACCGAGGCAGCGAATACTTTTGAAGATGCAGCTGATTTGACCGTCAAAGTGCATTTATTAAGGAAAAGTTAGACTGAGGCGAACCTTTACTATAATTTCAAGCAAACAAATAATTGTTATTAAGTGTTAATTTTGTTAAATTCTTGTTAGAATCCTCCCGTGCACGCTCCCGCAGCCACCATTTGGCAGCCAATCGATTTTTAGCACAACACCGGCCCACATTTCCGGGTTGTCAGTGGTGACGCGTAATAGATGCGACATATACGGCGAAGAGACGTATTTATGGATTTTCCCACTTTATTAGGCATATTTGGACTGATGCGACTCATAGAGCGGTGCGACATGTACGGCGGAAAATACGGTAAACATTAAGGTAAAAGGGAACAATTAAATTCTTACAAGTTCTTGACATCTGATATTAAAAAATGTGTCCGTCTTGTTTTCTTTTTGTTATTACTGTAATTTATCTTCACATAACCAACACTTAATTTTAATGTTTTCCTACTCAGCACACCTACAGTATTTACTCCATTGACAAAAAGACAAATCACTTTTCATTTATTTAACATTGGTCTTTAACATTGAAAAACATTCTAGATTGACATTTAAACCTTTTATTTGTTTAACAATGAACACTATCCTATATAATGCAGTTCACCTAAGTTTGTACTGCTCAGTACATTCTCTGAGCGTTTATAATGGTGTCAAAAACCAGATTTTTCTTTTTGTGCCTCGGGTCTTAAAACGTACTGACACGGAGTATTTTATTGCTGCTGGGCTTTGCTCCCCTCGAGTCTCTGATCTATTTATGAACAGTGAGGTGGGCTTTCAGATTTATATCAGCCATAATGATGGTGTAAGAAATGAAATGTGAAGCCAGAGTAAATACATTGCACCCTGCTGATTCCATGGCAAAGTTACTAATTTCTCAGCCTAGAGACACTTGAAACCTGAATCTCTGTCAAATCTGTTTCAACTCCACAATATGAACGACGAGGCTGCCTTAGTTTATGAATAAAGGAAAAATGCACAATTATTCTTTACTTCTTGTTATCTTGATTCAAGCGCCTTCATGTGTGAAACTTTGTGTTTATGTAGTTGATTAAAATGTGTTAATTGTGTTTCTTTGGATAATTGTTTAAACTTTGAATGTGTCCTTAAACTGTTAAGTTGTGTAAACCTTTTGTTTGAGTAATTAATGAAGCCTTGGCTACAGTCTTTCTTAAATCGGTGTTTTTCTTGACTATTTGGAAAAACTATCCCCAACCAGACAGAGAATCAGTCACTTTATTAAACAAATAAGCTGAAATACCTGCATATAAAAGACCATGTCACTGGATTAACAACAATTTAAAACTCAAAGGAAAAACATTTTGAGCAAAATTAGAAATTCTTTCGTTCATTATTTATTTAAACAGATAAGTCACATTGAGCCTCGAAGACTCATGTACAAGTGAGACCTGTTTGCAGAGCAAAATTAGAAATGATCCAAAAACAAATGCATCTCGTTTTTCTTTGGCACTGCTCATCAGTTCTCCATAATGAACAAGTCATTTCAGTACATGAGCAAAGTTCTACGTTGTCACAGGTGGGACAAATTTCAAATGATCTCAAAAAACAGTCAAAACGAAACTTTTTAAAACTTTTTTGTCTCCGTCACAGAGCGAAGTACAGTAATACCATCTGTCCATCCGTGCATGTTGTGAGCATGATAACTTGAAAAATAAGTGAGGTACTGACTTCCATCTTGGTGTGTGGCTACATCAAGGGGTAAGAAAGTTTCCTTTTGAAAGTTGGATTGCCACATCAAAATCCAAGATGGCTGCTATCATAAATATCCAGGGGCGTGAAGATTAACCTGCGGTGGTCAAAGTCTACTCCTGGCTTTGCCGTTACACCAGGTGGTGAATAAAATTACTCCCTCCACCTCTGATGATGGTATCTTGCACCAAAAACATGAAAGTTTACTAGCATTCCCTGTTCAATTCCAGTTTAGAAAAACACTCATCTCCTAAACTACAAACATTCACTATTCCATTCTCTCAGCGATGAGGGACATTGGTGTTCCGCTTGTTTACCGTTTGTTTACATTAAATCTCAATTTGCATATACAAGTGAAAAAATGTGTTTTGTAAACTTACTGTAGTTATGTTAGTGATGAGACTTTGTTCAGTAACCTTTACAGGACCATTCATTTCACATTACACAGTTATTTACACAAATTGTATAGGCTATGGGAAGCTCAAATGTAAGCAGGAGCAGCTAGCTGCAGCATTTCTGGTACAGACTGGTATTCACCCAACAGGATTTTTTTACA